GCATTAGAAATATTTATCAAGCGTGCATTGCTTAAATTTTGTTCATTTATAATAAATAAATTATTGATAATTAAAGAGCTCCACGGAATAACGATCTATGGCACAAGTGAAAAGCTTGGTTATGAGCTTTCAAAAAATATAAAAATTTTATAAATTAATAGCTGTAAGCGAATTATTGTAACTAATAGAATTAATAATAGTTACCAATAGTGTAATAAATAACAATTTACATATACATACTTATTACAAATTTCATGAAAATTTACGTTTTTTGAAAGCTCATAACCAAACTTTTCTATTGTGCCATAGATCGTTATTCCGTGGAGCTCTTCAATTATTTGAACCACAAAAATAATTAAAAATTTTCAAGTATTGTGATTGTGAACTTAACATAAATCTTATGTGATAAACATAAATAAAGATTAGTGTATTTCATTTCATTTCGAAATAAATTTTTTCTTATTTAATTGCTCGCAATTTATAAGTTTTCGCTTCCTTCTTTCTTAAAATTCATAATAAAAGTATTTTTAATAACTGAATATTCAGTGCAGTGAATAAATTAATTAATAAACTTGTCAATGCCAGCCATGACAGTTATACTTTGATACCAATTCAGGTATCAAAAAATGATCCCATATTCTGGATCATTTCTAGAAAATGATTTAAATATTTGGATCAATTTGATACCTTATATCGAATCAAAACGTTGCATGAGTTGATCTTAATTCTTGTATCAATTTGATACAAACACAAGAAAACTGTGTACACAATTTTCACTAAACATTGCAATTAAATATTCCGAAAATTTCAAATAAAGCTTTAGGAAATATTTAGGAAAGTTTCGATGCTGTGAGAGATATGGATGTAGCAACAAATCAATAAATCGTCTAATAAAATATCGATTGGAAAATATATATATAACTATATGACACTATCGTTTAATGGAATATCGATATATTTTTCATGAAAATTGAAGGGAAGGGGAATAGGTGTGATACTATGATAGACAGGCGCTTATCAGAAATGAGCCAAAAGTATTGGCAATCCATTCGCGGAGTGACTTTCCGGATACTCGACAATATCGAATGTCCGATCGCAGGAGGGGTTGAATAATCCGCGTTTATATAACACTCCGGATAACGATTTCCCGCATGCCGTCGAGTGAAATTCAAGCCCATTTCCTGATGTGAAAATTTATCTAGACAAACTTTCACATACATCAGTATCACAATTATACATATATATATTCTTTGAAAATACATTTTTTCAAAAAAAAAAAAAAAATTGATATATGCATTCTATTTTATTTGCGCACAAAGCCAAAGCATATGATTACATTACATTTTCATAGAGAGCACACGTGTGAATTTCATTCACCTCGAATATTTCCTCAAAACCCAGGAAAATCCAGAGCTCATTAAAATCTCATCGAGTTGTCGGATTTGAGAAAATCCAACAAATTGGACATTTATTTTTCACATTACGCCAAAGGGCACTTGAAATAAAAAAAAAATAGATAGCTTTTCTTTTTTCTTTTAAATATAAAATAAATTTTTGTTTAACTAATTACTAGATATTTAATTTTTTTTTATTTCTGAATAATATTCTCTCACAACACAAGGATATTCAGGATATCCCTGGGACGTCCTGGGGATATCCATTTGCTTTTGGCGATTTGGATATCCCTAAGATATCCTCTGGATATCCATGGACATCTCTAAGATATCCCAGGGATATCCAAACCGCCGAAAACAAATCGATATCCCCAGGACGTCCCAAGGATATCCTGAATATCCTTTTGTTGTGAGGGTTGAAATATATATTTTTTTTTTGCCTATTTTCACATAATAATTAACGGAAACATTCTCAATTGTGTATTGCGCGATAAACGGGGATAAATGCTTTTTTTTAAATGCGAAAAGATTGAAAATAATTTATATTCACTGCACGTCGAATAATAAATTTTTTTTTTTTTCATTGTTTTGAAAGTTGGCCGAGAATTTTTTTCACAGAGTATTTTTATGTAATTCTATATCGATCCTTTAACGAGACACTTTTATGAATATTCACGCGTGCATATTCACTGCATTTGAACATGAAATATTCAAAAGGTCGAGTCAAGTTATCTTAACTATCCATGAAACTAGGATTTAATCTTCAAATTGAAATAATCAAGCTTCCCTTTATTAATAATAATTCTCGCATAAAACAATATAGTGGAGTTTACTTTCCATGAGAGATTTTCAATAAGTTTTTGAATATTATTAATTTCATTATTAAATAAAAAAAAATTTGTAAATTGAATAAAAAATATTAAAAAGTTTTTTTTAATTTGAATGAAAAATTTTTGAGATTGAAAAAAGAGGTAACTATTTTAATTTGAGAGTAAAAAAAAAAAAATTTTTCTTCCTGGCTTGTGATAAATTGAAAAAGTCGTAATCTTCTAAACACTAGTTGGGGGGAGAGAAATAAAAAGAGTGATAGAGAGGGGAGGGAAAAAAAACGCTTTGTATTTTGCACGGAGCCGTAACCAGAATCGAAATTTATCTCGAGCGATGTTTTTTCCGGAAAACTTTCAAGAAAAGAGCTTGAACAAACTTCCCTGATGGGGATTCACCTCTCCAACATCGATTTTCTCCTTGTAATAGAGCAAGAGAAAATCTATGTTAAGGAAGAAGAAGCCCGTTTATATTCACTTCGACGGTCTCTGGCCACTTTCAACTCTGCCAATAAGAGTTGGATTTTTAAAAAAAAAAAAATAAATGTCAGAAATCGTAGAAAAAGCAGGGCAAAGAAAGTAATTTATAGGGAAGTCGCACACAGGGAAGTAAACCCGAAATTAAGAATTTTCAAGTAGCAGGATGTCAAGGAGCTCGATGAATAGTTAAACTTTGATGAGCAAGAAAGAAGAGACACGGTTCAGGTAATGAGGAACAAATTGAAAAATGCATAAGATCGAAATCTAGGTAAGGACAAAAAAACAAATTGATAAAGAAACTAAGATTAAATTTTTTTCTTTTCATGATGAAAGAAGATAATATTGGAAAAAAGTATTCTTCCAAAAAAACACTAATTTCTTTATAATGACGTAAAGGACGAACTAGCTAAATGGAGAAATCCATTGGGTCAGAGTCTGTAATTTCTGGTAAATGCTTGGGTCTTGGAATTCAAACAGTCGGTGATAACCAAACACCAGAAGGAGCAACTAAGGACTGTAGTCAAGCTAAAACACTCATGGGAATTAATATAAATGAGAACAGCAGAATTCCGCAAAGTAGGTATGAAAGAGAGGCAAATCATAACAGGACTTAAGGGGTTACATAAAAATATGCCTAATATCCTTTAATTTAATTATCTTCCTATTTATCCTGCCACGAAAGAAATAGCAAAAAAAATGTTTAATTTCAGTCTCCTACAGTAGTGTAACCCCTTAAGACCAAATACGGAGATATGGGGAGGAAACGAAACCTTGAAACAAGTGGTTTTTCGTTATAATCTATTAATTTCTCCAGCCTGTTCGCTTCTTGTTGGTAGGTGACTACAACTATGAGCTTCATCCCTCGATTTCTAAAACTGTTACCTTTATGCTTTATAGTTTCTTTACTTCTTCTAGCGCCTAATAAACTTCTTCCTGGGTAAGGCAATCTAAGTCACGGATTTTAAAATAACGATCCACTGACTGAACCTTGAACATTACTAACGCTTCGTAGTGAAAGTCTTGTTAGAGTTGGCTACTATTTTAATCAGATGTCCTGCTTTGGTAAATCCAAACAATTCTCCTCTGACTGACGCGTCTTGATAAAGGAAGTTTGATCAGAATGTCCGCTGATGACTTTCCTTCGGCGCCAATGATCATCATCGTTGATCCTCGTCCTTTTTTTCGATCTTCGATACCTTTCCCTCTTTCTTTCGAGCTACTTCCTTCCTCTTCTTTAGTTAATCTTTAGCTTCTTAACTACCGGATCTATCTCGTTTTTAGCATATCTGGGTTTTTAGCATCTTAATTGATTGCATACAGTGGGTCTATAAAACCTAAAATACTCCATAGGTCTTCTATTGTTGGAATATCCTATTTTACTATTTCAGTGGTAATAACGAATGGTTTGTTAAACCACTAATTTTATTTATTTTTTACTTTCTTTTTTATTCAGACTCAAAAAACAGGACACTAAAAACAAAAAAATTCCTTAAAATTGATTAACTTTTTGTCATTTTTAACTTTAACCATTTAATTTATTTGCATACTAATATTTTCAGAACCAAAGTTTATACATTTTAGTGGCACTAATGTTTTAATTGTTTTTAATATTGTTTTATTCATTTTAATATTATACTATATGTCCTTTTTTATTATTGAAATTAAAATGTTTTCATTTAGTTTCTCAAAATAACTTGACACGTTTATTGTAATAAAAATGGAAATCTTTTTAAATAAATAATATATCGACCCTTTTTATATCACTATAATTAATTTAAAGATTTAAATTTTATATATATTCTTTTTGAGTTACATTTCTAAAGAGAGATTTTAAGATAAATGTTGTATTTAAATTCAATAGAAAGAAAATTACAAATTGCAATACGATCAACAATATTAAATCTTTACTAATTGCGGTTTTATTTTGAAAACCTTTTCGTTGCTAAATCCTTTTCAGTCTATAATTATATATTTCCAACGTTCGCCTTCTGAATGTCAGAGGAAAACATTTTCTCCTTGGAAATATAATCCATTTGGTAAACTTGTTTCTTGCGGAAGTTTTTTCATAATTTATATTAAAATTAAAAAAAATTACTTAATTCATAATTCACACAGTGAAATATTATGATTGAAACAAAATGATATGAAGAGAGAATGAAAAATATTAGATTGCATGTATTTTGTAAATAAATGTTGATGTTGTTAAGTTTAAATTTGATAAAGTTATCCTATACAAGAGGCAAAGTGGGATGTAGAGAATATAAGTAATCATATAAGTTATGCAATATAAAGTTTCTCTTACCGTAGGGGGTCTCTTTCTTGTCCAGTTTAATATCTGAGTTACTTGCGTTACCAGGGCCGACGGTGGTTGAAGTGGTTGAGGCCGCCGTTGGTATAGCTTGTTGTATCGAGCAATCGGGACCCGTCCAGCCAGGATTGCAGTAGCACTTGTTAATATTAGTGCATACCTGATAAACAGAAAAGTAAACTACAAATTTCCAACACTTTACATTGCGTCGCCATATGATGAAGTCAATTTTGATCCCTGAAACTAGATAAACATTGAAGATAACTTTGTAATAAAGTTCTATAAACAACGGTTTAATAATTATCAGATTTTCATTGGAAATAAAAATTACTGCAAAAAACTCTTTTCTCCTCTTCTCATATAATAAATAATAATTCTTTATATTCTAACTTACGCCATTTCCCGAACACTCGTTGTTATTATGATTGCTAGGACATTTTGATTGGTCCACATGAGGAAAGATGCTCGTGCAAGTATGATTCAGGCAAATCTGAAACAGAGACAATTATTTTTTTCCTAAATACAAAATTTATAAGGAGCAATTTACTGACACGACCATCAAACCTTTCATTGAAAATATGTAATAAAACGAGAATTTGATGAAAATATCGAAACGGAATATAGAAATAAAGTTTGGAAACTAATTTTATTTGGCAATTACGTGTAATCGGAAGAGCGTAAGGCAGAGTTCTGGACGATAGGGTAAACACTGGACATAGTACGTTTTGCGCACAAATTGAAGGTAAATAAAGCCTTTGTTGACGGTCAGATCAGTTTAAGCTGGAAATTAGATTCATTCCCTTCGAACCGATGGAATATTTTAACGTATAACGATCTGCTCGAAAAACAAATTTCCCTAATCGCTTTTTAAATTGCGACCAATGCGCGTACATCAGTGTGTTACAGATTTTTTTTTTTCCCGCAAACACATCCATTGACAATTTTTATACTCACCAAATTGTCTCCACAGGGCGTTCCATCACGAACTAATCCCAACTCTGGCATTTCAGCCCCCTCCACTCTTGCCGTTGTGGCTCTTTAAAAAAAATTTCATTTTTTTTTTAAAACCATAATAACTTTCTGCAAAATTGAATTTAATTTACTCACTTGCACTCGATTTGTTGTCCCTTGTTGTAAATTATGGTTGTAGAAAAAAGATCATTCTCTCCATTCGTTACTGGTTTAGTATTTCCATTTTTACATTGAAGTGAGCCACAACGAACATTTCTGTAACATAGAAAAAATTGATGGCAAAAATCAATTTTTAATTTCATTGAAGAAGCAAATTTGTGTTAAAAAATTGACGAGAGTGTGCGCTTCTCTTGAAAACGGAAGTTATCGATTAGTCAAGTGCTAATAAAGTATGCCACTGGGTCGTATCCCTTTTCTTTTGTTATAAAAACCTTAAAGCTTCAATTTCTTTATGTAATAAGATCTGCTCTTTTCTCAAAAAAAAAAAAAAAAAAAGATGGTTGTAAAGCAAACGCTAAGAAGACGCAACTTCTTAGGGAAACTAATTATTAGATTCCAGTTTCTCGTTAGATCATTATTTGACACTCTATAATTAGATTCTGAATATGAACTTTACAATAATTAAAGTCATCTTTAAAGTTAATTTCAGAGATAGACACGCGTCTCATAAATTTATATCATTTGTGAATAAATTACTGGCTAACTTGTAATATTAGATAATATAATAGATTTTTAAATTCCTATATAATTAAAAAATTAATTTGATAGCCTCCCTTAGTTTAAAAATTTTGAATTTAAAAAAAATATCCAACTTTTTAGGGATTTAATATGTCATCACGTAATCATTTTTTTTCGAGATTCATCTCTCTTATATAATAATAATCCTTTATAACAAAATCGGTTTAACTTTTATAATTCTATTACGTAATTTTTTTTTAAAAATATTAATATGGAAAGAAATTTAATCATTTTTTAATTATACATAATTTTAGCTTAAAAACCTCTTAACAAGAACGAAATGTAATATTGTAAAAGATTAATAAAATCGTTACGTATGAAATATTGAAGAGGAGTATTTGTTGTTCTGAATTGGAAAGCACCACGAGTGCTAATCGATAAGCAAGCTCTTGGAAGGATGGGAGAGAGAGAGAGAGAGGAAGGAAGAAAGGATGGTATATCGAAGCTCTGAAATCTCCATTTCTCAATTTGATATAGATTCCGTAGAACCGCCAAAGTGGGAGAGGGTAATCTCGGAAATTCATGCTCTCACATATCTGGTCGATGAAGCATGACGATTGTCTTGCTGTTGACGTTCGCAGACTATCGGACACATCTATTTTGCCGATAATCTACGTCAAATTGGCGGACACATCATCTTGAATAACAATTTTACTTACTCTGGTTCACACTTGATGTAGAGACCGGAACTGTCCATGCCGCAGTGACCGTTGATCGATCCCTTCGAATTGAATTGCTCAAAGCACTGTTTATCGGACGCTGAGCCGCCGTAGCCCCAAATCTGCTCGCACTGCATATCCAAGACTGGACAGAATCCGTTAAAGCAGTAGCCATTATTGTTGTAGCATGAGTTTCCGTTTTTCATGTAAACGTCCGGTGGACATTGGCCCGTCTCACCGGAGCACACTTCCGGTAAGTCACACTCATTGGTCGATTCACGACAAATGACTCCTCGCGGCCGCAACTGAAACAAAAGGACAATGCTTGTAATTAACTCCCAAGGAATTCAATTCAATTATCAACTCCAATATAGTGAACGTAATGCCGGAGGTTTCAACCTAACTGCTAACTGCACTTTACTATCAAGTGCACTCACGCTATATTGATGAATATATACCTATAAGGCTAGGTCGAGAATCTTCCGGCAAGTTCATTTATATTAAGCCCGGACTTCTTCATCGATAATTCCACTAAATATCCCAATTAAATCATCTTTGTTTTAGGAAACCGAAATTTTCATTGCGGGAGAAAAATTTATCACCAATATGATAATAATTTACTCGGTAACAATATTCGAGAAAATCAGGGAATTTAGTTTCTCTTGAACTGTGACTTTAATGACTCCCTTTGCTTTACAGTAATGATGCAATATTTAATTAATACATTAAATTGTATTACAACCTTCTATCATGGGAAACTTCCATTAATATTCAAATATCTAAATCTTCAATTGGAATATCGAGGGAACCTTCCACTAGATCCTCAATATTCCGGAATTAACTAAATTTCTCCACTATATTACACTAATGTAACAATCAAGTCTCCGCCTCATTCGCTTGCTAAATCGAAGGGAACTTATTTCGATGTCCAATGCCGTATACCTCGAGATAACTAAGTGATTTTTCTATATATATATTAAATTTTTTTATAATAAATGTAAAATAATTAAGTGACGACATTGAATAGAATTAATTTACTCTCAATTTTTTCTCACCCCAAAAAAAAAATTATCCTGAATACTGTAAACACTGTAATCACTAACAACTACAAACTATTCTCCATTTTTTCTCACCAGAAAAAATTTTAATAAATACTGAAAACACTGTTATCACTCACATGTGACATTTTAAATTTTATTTTTCTTGGAACTACAACTATATTTGCGACAATATTTATTTTCTATGTACAAATAGTGAAATTTAAGAAAAATTGTAAGGGTCCGTTTATGATCTCCCCACTTCATGTACATCCCCGAACGAAGGTCCTAAGGTAATTTGAAGCCAGTCCTCGTTTACCCGTTGTCAAAATAAAGCCTATACTATTTTTCATACCAAAAATCCTTGTGTACATTTTATTTCTCTATCCAGTCTTTGCGCGTATATTCTCTGTATTAAGTTAATATTCTAACAATATTTTAATTATGCTGTGAGTAAAAAATAACCTAGGATTAATAAATCAACTTGAAATAAATTTTTAGAAATTGCGCACAATGTTTTTCCAACCTTCCGTGATATAATTCTAAATGTGCTCCTGACAATACGATTCCTTTCAAGTCGTTTGACTGTAATTTACAAATTGGATATTTTATTCCATACAATTTAGAAATGTGAATTTTTCCGTCGTTCCAACTGAAAAACACTCCTCTCTTGGTAAGAAATTGTCTTCCAACTGACTCGAGAGATCTTGCGGAGTCTCATGTGAGTGAAATTGAAAAGCATTCCCCTTTCGTTTAAGTATAGAAAAAAAGAAGACGATTGAGACAAAAAAAAAGGGTAGACAAATACCTTACACTTGTTGCAACAAGGACCGGAGGCGCATTCAGCTTCGCTTGTCAGTTTGCAAGTGATGGGATCGCAGCAGGGATCGAACTTATGACATTCGTCAATATTTCCACAGTCGCATTCCTCCCCATCGTCGATTACCCTGTTTCCACATGTTCGTCTCTGAATTCCCGACTGCAATTTGACAAAAAGTCGCCTCAGTGGATCAATTCTTATTTATATATATAGAAAGAGTAATTTCACATTTAAGAAAATGAAATGGATGTAAGAGAAAGAGAAAAAAAACAAAGGGAACTCTTGATAAGAAGGAAATCGATCCAAGGAATCAATGTCTAATGCAAATATGATTCCCACTCAAGGAAGCGGAACGTGCACTGAATAATTAGAGAAACTCGAGTGTACTCACCTCGTTTGGTTTGTTCAATAGGCACATTCCATCACCTTTTTTTAATACCTCTGAGTAATCCGTTTTGCTACAATCAGAAAATTTATAGGGCTGTACATTTTCCAATCCCACGATAGACCGAGCCATGATACATCCGTGCCAGTCCCGACAAAAGCATTCTTCTCCTGTAATATGACAAATGATTTAAAATTATTTTTTTTTTGCTTGATTCAAAAATTAATTGTAAAATAGTAATTTAATTCGTCTATTGAAAAATAGAAGCTATTTTCCCGATGAATGCTTCTGTTAATGAGGAAAGGGATAAACCGTTTCATTATCCGGAGTGTGCGAAGACTAGGTTGTTGAAAAAGTAGAGAGAAAATTTTTATTGGTTCAAACTAATCATATCACGATCGCGTGATAAATTTTATTAAGTATTTTTCTTTTCTACAAACTATAAGAACATAAAGGAAATGCAAAGCTTAGATTACAAACGATTCTAGTTTTCCAAATTATAGGATTGCTGGAAAGCAATTTTTTTTAAGGTTTAAGAAAAAAAAAATGATGAATGCTTGCATCATCTCACGTAATCTAAAGCTACTTGAGTTAAATGTAGAGTACCGCGAAATGTAGTCATCTTGACCTCGTTAAATTCATCCTCGGAGCGGTCAAATTGCCTTCCTCTCCATCTTTTTTTTTTTTTATTCCACTAAAAGCAAGTTTCCAAGGAAATCGAAGATTACAGGAGGGGAAAAAAATGTGAACTAGTTTAGATTCCCTGAACATTCACGTAACAAGATATCAACGAATGGGAATTTCTATCCGCGCTTTTGTCGATATTGACCAGACATTTGCGGTTACACAACAATGCAAATATCCAACGATATACATTATTCATGTATACCAAATTAAGACTCGTCGATTTCTTAAAGTTTCACTGCGGTTTGCATTACAAACGAGTTTCCCTTTAATTTTCTTTCGCTAAATGTATTGCTAAGGAAATTAAACGCATTTCTGTTGTTTGTCGTTTATTTCGAATTCATTCTGGTCCTTAACGACCTCGTCTCTATGAAATAGTCTTTCTCTCTCTCTCTCTCTCTACACTTTTACGATCAACATTAACCAAGAAGGACCTTTAAAATGCGTCACAGCAACCACTCATAATACTTTTACTATTAGAAAAGGTAATACAAAATTTTCACCATTCTCCGTAATTATTTCTTCAATAAGTTTCTTTAATGTAATATGGTAATCGAATCTAATAGAGAGGTTTTAAATGGCTTATTTTACAATTGTAATCAACTGAATTTATAAGCAATTGATTTAAAGGTTTTTCAAGATTCGCATCATGATTACCATTTTGAGAAAAAATAACTTCGTATATTGTAAAAATAATCTTGAAGACGCCTTTATTACTTTCCTTTATGGTTATTGAACAACATACTTTGTCTATTGCCCATAGTCAGAAATGATTATAAAAGCACACAGGTGCATCGTGCAAACCACATTGTTTAGGCGGCAGAGATTGCCTAATTTAACGTCAATGAATAGTTGGTTCTATACTTACTTCCATCATCGTGTCCCATGCCGATGTTATGACCAATCATATGAGCCATCGTGCCAGCCAACACATGTGGTTCATAAGAATTGAGATCGACACTAATTCCTATGGCACGTTTACTACAAATGGTGCCTTGCGCAGCCATTCCCGATTCTCCGCCTTCAAAAGTTTCGCCCCTGTAATCAAAAAGAATTTAATGTGATATTACCATTAAAAAAGGTAATACCAGTTCTAACTTTCGAAAAATCGATTTTTTTGCATTTTCTTAAACTAAATATTTTTAGAAGTGTGTCTGTAAATTTTTATGTTGATCCAGTGAAAAATAAATAACATTACGAATCCGATGTCATTTTTATAAAATTCAAAATGGTGGACCCAATATGGCGGACAATTTTTTACAAATTATTAAAATTTGCTCGAAACTGGTTACTCAGGTATTTTCGGGGTCGCTGAGTACGAATCCGATGTCAGTTTTTCAAAATTCAAAATGGCGGATCCAATATAGCGGATAATTTTGTTAAAATTGATGAAATTAATCACAGATATACACACACACAAAAGCGCCATTTTGAATTATAAAAATCCAAAGTCATATTCATAAACAGCAACATCAAAAACATCGTAGTAACAAGTTTCAAGCAAATCCGATCAATTTTTCATTTTGTCCAACGTCATATTCGTAATCAGCGACCTCAAAAACCCCCGAATAACAAGTTTTAAGCAAATACGATGAATTCTTCATTTTGTCATCCACCATATTAGATCCGCCATTATAAATTTTGATAATCCAACATCATATTCGTAACGAGCGACTCAAAAACCTTCCGAGTAACACGTTTCAAGCCATTCCTATAAATTTTTCATTTTCTCATCCGCCATATTGGATCCGCCATTTTGAATTTTGAAAATCTAACGTCATATTCGTAATCAGCGCCCTCAGAAACCCACGAGTTACAAGTTTCAAGGAAATTCGATCAATTTTTAATTTTGGCATCCGCCATATTGGATCCGCCATTTTGAATTTTGAAAATATAACGTCATATTCATAATCAGCGCCCCCAAAAACCCACGAGTTACAAGTTTTAAGGAAATCTGATCAATTTTTCATTTTGTCATCCGCCATTTTAATTTTTGAAAATCTGATGCCAGATTCGTAATCAGCGACCCCGAAAACTTTATAGACATTATTGTTAGGTTATTTCCTATTGTTGTTTAGTCACAATTACATTTATTGTAAAAAAACGCTATTTTTAAACTTAATTTGTTTATAACATTTATTTTATTTATGACAAAAACTTTTTTAATGTAGTTATATTGTAATAGACTAGAGGGGCTACGCCACCCTGCGCGCTTTGCGCGCCAACCCCCCTGTTTTAATCATTTTTTTTTAATTTTCCATTGATCTTATTTTTCCAAATGAACCACCTATTTCAAAGAATTATTATTACAAATTCATTGAAATCTGAATAAATATTATTAAAATTAAAATTATTAAATTTTAATTAATAAATTAATTAAATTAATAATAATTAAATAATTAAATAAATAAAAATCGACATTAAGAAATTATTTTTAAAAATAATTTCAATGAAATTGACTAAAAACCAATAAATTATTAAAAAGTCTTGAAACGAACATAACCTTTAAATTCAAGTCATTTTTGGCGGGAACTCCACCTCCACTTGGGGCTATATTGAAAGTCTTGAAATTTTCGTAACCTTAAAATTTATGTCATTTTTGGCGGGAAATACAGAGAGAGATGAGGGAAGGGGGAAGGACTTACTGCTTTATTAGGGTCTTAAAACAAACATAACCTCAAAATTTAGGTCATTTTTGGCGGAGGAGGGGAAATGAGAGGAGGGAGGGGGGACTTGCGGCTATATTCAGAGCCTTGAAACGAACATAACCTCAAAATTTAGGTCATTTCTGGCGGGGAGGGGGGGGACTTGCGGCTATATTCAGAGTCTTGAGACGAACATAACCTTAAAATTTAGTCCATTTTGGCGGAGGAGGGGAAATGAGAGGAGGGACTTGCGGCTATATTCAGAGCCATGAAACGAACATAACCTCCAAATTTATGAGGGGGGACTCCCCCCTCCTAGGTCAAAAATTCTTGAAACAGCGTCGGCGGAGATATCTTTTTGTAATATAGGAAGATATTCTAAAATACATTTTAAATATATTTTGTTATTGAAATGTGTAAAATAGTGGCTGAAGTATTCAAAAAAGTGCAAGAAAAAAGGTGACACTCAGGAGTGTCACTATGCCGCAAAGGGTTATACATACACGGTTACTATTGAACATAACTTCATCTTAAAAAATACAAAATGTATATTAAATATTATTTAACAACAAATTGCAACTGAAAATAATTTTTTGATTTCAGGTCAAAGTATTTGATTAAGAAGCTGCATGTTCCACAGATTTTAATGCAAATGAAACTGGTGATATGGCCTACGGAAATCTGCTATCGATTATTTTAGAAGGCGAAGAAACTGAACAAATTGTATTAGACGGATCAAAGCTTTGTTAATACAACAAATTGTATTGCCTATTTAACAATTTAGTTTTGTTATTTCAACTGTTCCATAAAAATTTTCTTTGTTCATCAAACAATTCCCAAAAACAAATAGAACTGCTGGTTCTATATTGACAATCCGGAATTGTTGTGTGGACTTAATTTTTAGTAACCACAACAATTCTTTTTTCTCCGTGGCAATAGGGGATTTCCCTTTTATCCTCCTTTTCGGAAGAGAAGAATTGCTATATGGTCTAGGAATTGACGACTCATTGTAAAATGCATTTTTTTTCAATCCTTCGATTGGGAACTAGACAATCTTATAAGAAATGTAAATTAATTTCATTTTACATTATAAAATTTTTTTTTATTGTCAATTAAAGTTCTAGACACGTACTTTAAGGTAATAAATTAAAAAAAATTCATGGTGCGTGCAATGGAGCCCCTCCAATAAAAACCATCTTCGAAGAACAGCAAAACAAACGTTAAATTTCAGCCTCCTACAGTGGTGTAACCCCTTGGTAAAATTCTCATCCAACTAATATATTTACCAAATTATCATATTTTTTAAATAATATTGGTATTAATTGTTATTTGTTTCTGTTAGGGAATATTGAGAATGTGTACAAAACGAATTTTCGCGATATCGATATCGCAAACGCAGAAGGAACAAGAGCTTCTGAATTCCGTCTTCTCGGTTACCAGAAGTCCACAATGCATATCGTAATGAGATCTCTCTCTCTCTCTGTATTTTAGCCCCTTTCTTCCCACCCTTACTCAACCCGACCAACAGTCGGACTTCCAGACTTTGAGAAGACCAACTTTAATGACAAAATTCTAGAAGGCATATCTGACTCTCCGCGGAGGCGTAAACTTTCATGAAACTTGGACTTATTCTGATCCCTAAGCCACGAAGTTTAAGTCGATACGATTTTTTTTTTCAAAAAACCTTCGACCCAGTTTTTGCAATGACGCGATGAAAAGCATCTACAAGTTGTAACCTGTTACATACTATCAACTTTTGGAATTGGATAAAAATGAAGCAAAATCAATTAAACAAAAATCATTAGATTACTTTAAGAGATATTAATGCCATTTTTTTTATTATCCTTGCAGGCAGTGTCTCTGCTTGATTTTACCTATATATAGAAAATGTAATGGTAGAGAAACATATTTGTAATCTCTACATTCAGCCTTCGCGTGGGTGAAAAAAGGAATGTTATTAAAGAGAATTTTTTAAGAGATGTTCAATAAAAATTCGTAAGATGTAAAAAAAAGTTCTTGGAATTTTTTTATATTATCCGGTTCTTTTATATAATTAGAGAGGAATTTCTAAAACTAGGTGAGTTCCAGGGTTGGTGACCCCGGAGGGGAATGAAATCTACACTCCGGTGGTAACGAAACGTTATTAATATTCTAATAAGAGCTTAAGCAGAGCTCCACTGAAGGTTTATCTAACCCCGTCGGCTCGCCAGATTGGAAGGGTCCGAGGAACGAATTTGATTAAGTATCGAGATAATTTAGCGGAAAGCAGCTGAGGCGACAATATTATTCGAATTGTGGACAATAAATTTTCAAAGTCCAGTTAAAAAAATGGTTCTAATACTGACATAATTTAGGTCATTTGGAACTTGGGAAAGACGAAAATCATCAAGACATAATAATAATAATTATTATTAATTGATTATCCAAATATTTCGGAATATTTCCTTTTTTTCAATTTTGTTGTACGATTTTAAATTCCCCAGATTAATTCTGATGGCTTATTGGACAACGATTGTTGTTTCCGTCTCATTGAGAAACGGACTGTTGTTTTCTCTTGAAAGTCATGTTACCAGCGCTAATCCAAATCTCGTGTCAGTACTGGCTCAACATTGGAACGCTTATAAATTACCTTTCTCTCTCGATTGGAGAGACGAACTCGTATTTCTACCGTTTCGCGTTAAATGATCGAGAAGGATGAGGAAGATGTCCATTCTGCTTTCCGGAGTGGAACACTGGTCACCGGCTGACCCGAATTGACCGCATTAATCAACTGTTCCGCGAATCACAATCGATTGCGATACGTTATTGACAATCCCCCGCGATTCGAATGCGATTGAATGATTTAAAGCTTTTTCTCGTTCATGGTAATGCCTTTTTTCTAAAAAAAAAAAAAAGAAAAAAAAATCACCCAAACTACGCATCCTGTCTATTCAAAGCCTATCTGTATGCACCAATATACATATTGATTATGGGCTTTTAAATTACTTTTTCAACGAAAAAACATAATCATGGGATTCAAATTCGTTGACGAAATCGCTCTCGGAGGAGTTATCGGTTCAAGTTCTCTGGTTGTTTTTGTAAAACAAAGCCACGTTAACTAAATATATATTTCCCAGCATGCATCGCACAAAGAATTATTGGATTATTTTGTTGACTTTGGTATATCGTTATTAGTGAAATATTATTGTATACCATAAAATTAATTATGTTGAATAATTAAGTCGAATAATGGAGAAGAAATTAATGAACTAATATGTAATTGCAAAATGAAACAATTAATGTTTGATTGGAAAAAATTATTCCTTGTGAACATTTTATATTTTATTTCGATAATTGACAGGTTTCAATGAGCAAGATATCGCGATCGTTTTCCTCTTACAGCCACAGATAGGCAGTGCCTGTTCCAGTAGTACATATTGTAACGCGGCATTTTATCGCGTATAAATTATTTCAAAATAATAAATTATAATAGATTTTGTAAATAAATGACATTAGGGTGAGAATCCATTCATAATGGCTGTAAAATGTTATAAATTATAAAAATTCTTTTTATGATACTCACTTCTTTTTGTTTAAATAATAAATTCACGTATTAACAAACCAACTTGCTAAAGTCGTCAGATTAATAGTCGACTCGTAATGAATAAATTCGATTCTGATTTGTCCTTTCGTTCTGTTATGAAAAATTCTCGCGAGGCATTGAGGATTCTTGCTGGGTCATAAAGACGTTGAGGACATCACTATCTATCATTGAAATTAATTAGAAGTCATCAAGGGATGAGCTTTCTGGTTTATATATTAGGATGAGAGTTCCGAATATTCAAGAATACCAAGAAGACGAAATTGCTGTTTTGTTGACAATCTGTCAAATCAATAATAGCTGACAATTTCCTATGGACTTTTCGCATCAATCAATTTAACATCGGATAGTGTAGAGATCTGCATTACCGACGACTGCGTATCGATTATCGATCGCGGGTATTATATTATTGAATATTAATTGATCTCAATGACACCAAGAAGAGAGGCCGCTGTTTAGCGACGCTTTCGAGTTTGATTCGTCAGCCATTTTACTCTCATTCTCATCCTGGTGTTCGTAGAGTCAAGTTGTTTTCTATTCTTTTTCGTGTAAAATAATTAAAATTATAAAAATGAGACGAGGCTTCATCGTCGTCGTCAAATGGACGTCGAGTCCCAATAAATTAATTAGGAGTCGTTTTCTTCAGAATCGATCTCATTATTATTAAAGTATAATTGAATAAATAAAATATAAATCTTGTCTTTTGGCCTTCTGCCATTATTTAACTTTTTCTAAAATTTAAAGTGATAATTAATAAATAGCGACATTGTTATAGAATTAAACTATTACAAATTTTATATTTTAAAAGTAACTGCAGTGGTTATGTGAGAAAAGTCATTTGTTTAAATTTCTCGAAATAAGAAAATATGGATTTATCACGTTTTGAAAATTTGCTCCTCAGTTGAATTATTATAAAATTAGTATTTTTTAAAATTTCATTCTAATTCCCAATAAATCGTTTTTCCGTCATGATCCCAATCATCGATAGTAATGTACCGGTCGTCTTTAATTATGCTTTTAATTTAATTGTCCTGATTAATTTAAATCAAGAAATAGATTTAGAAAAAGTTATAAGTTCCAAGAACAAGTATTTATTGAATTCAAAAATTGTTATTAAATTGAATTTTAAATAATTACAATTATTAATTTTTTTTGTTATAACAGTAGAGCGCATATCCCATGATTTTGAATTTAGGTTAAATCATTTAGAAAATTGTTTTTGTGGATTTTTCTTTAGAGTCCCGTGCGTTGTAACGTATTTAAAAAAGAAAAAATTGAACTGTTACATAGACAAATTACGTAACTGCACTTTAATTTGTAACATATTCTTTTGCTGTATATGATGATAAAGGATCCAAATATAGTATGCTTGGCAATTAGAGCACAGCAAGTCGTTTTTGTCTTGTTGGTAACAAGCGGGCATGTTTGTTCTGTATATTTACAATTTAAACTTGTTTGTGAAGGTAAATTTAAATAGATGCAAATTTAGTGAAATGTAAATATCAAGAAACTGAGAAATTATAAAGAATTAAGAAATTGAAGAATTTTAAAGAAATGAAATGTATTTATTCTATCACTAAAAAAATATCAAAAAAAACATCCAAAGCAATTGAGGCTCCTCAATTGAGGACACACACTCGAATAAGTTTTCTTGATAAAAAATACAACTATTGTATTTTTATTGCTTTTTTATTATTATCGAAATTATAGATGTGATTGTAAATCATCAAAATGGATATATATATATCGATATTTCTCTAGACTGACGTTGCATCAGTATTTCATGTAGTAACGTTGGCAATAATTGATAATAGCCTTTGGTTGACTTACGTGAGCAGCTGAGTTGTATCGGAGCTAACAGTATACATGTGTCGCATATTGTAATCGTTGAAGCCCAGCAAGGCACGACCAATATCCATGGTTTTATCGATACTCGCTCGGTTACCGCCTTGCCATGTTTCGATGTATACTACTGATACTCTAGTGTTCAATGTACGGAAGTACTGTAACAGACATACGTCATTTACATTCCAAGACAGCTACACGCAATCTTTAAATAAACTATTTATAAGAAAGCAGGTAAAAAAAATCACTTTCCTTTAAAAAATTGCAATTTGCGGAAATTAAATTTATATAAATTTAATATGAAAATCAAATCGTTTTTCTACCTAAGATTACAATAATTTTAATTCTTCCGATTTGAACAGACCGGATCTATTAAAAAATGTTCTTATTGTGAAAATTTTACACACCCCGGTGAATTGAACGATGGAAGGAGAGGATCTCTATATACCTTTGGATAATTCTATGGACGAGGAACGTGCGACATAGCGGCCATCTTGAATTGTAGTATAGGTAGGGGAATAGTGTCAGGGTTGGACACATGGCTTTTTTTAAATAAGAACACTAGCGCCACCTGTGTGCGTACGTGACGAATCTTCTAGTAGTGTAACCTAACTTTTTGTGGCATTACATTTTTGGAGAATCAAAAGTAGTGTCTCCTGTGACTTCGGTGCAATCGAAGAGACAAAAAAAGTTTTGTTTGACTTGTGAATAAACCTAAAAATTGTGTAAAAAAAGCAAGAATTCGGCAAGGTAAGCTTATTGAATGTATTGTAGGGTACATAATTTAAGAAGAAAAAAAGTGAAAAATCGAATCGCGACACATGTCTGGTTATGGTTAGCACAATTCGAAAATGATGCTTCTAGTTAGGGTTGGACACCCATATTATGAATTTGACACAATTTATAAATAAATATACAAATAAATTTTATTTTATTGATATTACAGTGCAAAATTGTGCCAAAGATATTAGAAAAATAATACTTAAATTGTATAAATTTTGTTCATCATTTCATTGAGTTATTTGGAACAATAAAGCGTTATTTTTTGTAATTTGAGTTTATTCCTTTTTTAAACTCATGAAGCTTTACAATTTGTAAACAATAAGTAAAGATAAACATGAAAAACATTACAAATGTTATTTTACGTTTTTACCAATAATGGGTTTCGATTTTCAAAAAGTGTCCAACCCTGACTAGATTTTTTTTAAAAATGTTCATAACTTTTTTAATTTTGGACCAACATATTTAATTAATTCATATATTTATTGATTGTAAAACAATATCCAGGTTTTTAATATATCCCAGGTTCCACTCATGGCCTATCCAGAAGTATATAGAGATCATAATAAGATAATATATCATCTTCTATTTTCCATTGCGATTCACCGAGGTGATGTTACATATGAGTTACGTAACAATAATTTAAAATACATATATACTAATATAATTTATATATAAGAAAATAAATTAAAAGAATTAATAACATTTCAATATAATAAATATGAAAATTGACTTACCAAATCGGCAATATTGGCAATTTGAATAATATCGTGGACGACCTCAGCTCTAGAGCTACCGTTTCGTTTATCGAACTGAAAGTTGAAGGAGTTATTTGAAATAAACCCACGTCATAAAAGAAAACGAGAGAGAGACAATTTTTTTTTTGCAAAAGAAAACTGGGAATTCTTTATGGTGACTGTCGAAATAAAGATGGTACGATATTGAGATGTTTTTGAATTACGAACATTTCCATCACCTTTTCTATGATATAATAGAATTGAACGCGAAAAGCGTAGATGCAAGAAAAATGCTTCATTCAAAATCAAGTATTTCATTGCACACGATTCTTTCATGTTCTGATTTTTACATTTTGTCTAGATGTAAAAAAATTTTTCATCTCAATTTCATAAAAAAAAGCCAAATTGATATTTCAAATAAACTTCTAATAAATGAAAATTATTCGTGTTCAAAAACTTTTAAAAACAATCTTGAATGATCAGTTTTTTTTTTCAACGAAAAATTTAAAATTTATTTATCAATTTCACATAATTCAGTGTCAATTTTTCATAATTGAAAAAAGTTTGAATTTTTTTTTTTTATGTAAGTCCTCTCTGGATAAGAAAGTAGACTTATCCGTGGCTCAAAGATGAAATCTGTCACAATGAATTTAATGTTATACTCTATAAGGCAAATTGAAAAAGTGTGGGATGGCAGGAAAAGTTAATCCGATTTGAAACGGTCACTCGAGATATATAAAATGGTTGATGGAATGAGACAGATTTTTTTTTTACCATGGCTTTGTCGATAACGATGGCAGTTTCGATGAATTTCTCAGCTTCACGAACGTCTCTTTTGAAGCGATTGAAAATCGGTTCCGTCAGGCCCACATGTTTCTGCCTGCGGTTTTTCACAAGCCACTCAAGATTGCCCGAATTGGCGCAGCCTTTGCTAGCTTTTGTTTTTGCTTCAAATATGACGTGAGGATGTTTCTGCTAAAAGAGAGTTTAGTATGTAGTACACGATTCAGAAAAAAAATATAAAATACTTAAAATTTAAGAATCGAAAATATTTAGCTGAAGAATTTGGTATGTTAGAATTAATTTATTCGGTATTGTTGAAACGAAAATTAAAAATAGAATTGCATTTATTTTCTGCTTTTACATATTATTTTCTACTCTATTGGCCATTGTGTGCACTTTTCTGGCGAAAGAATGCAAGCAATGGTCTCTTCTAATTACAAAACGGGCGGTAAACACTTCGTTTCGGAGACCCTTTCTAAAAACCAAGAGTTTACACAAGTTCGGATGTTGCTGTCTTACCAAGAATCGTAATTCTTTGTATCCGGGATTTTAGCCATTAACAGTCTACGAGCTTTTACAACTGTTCCTTTTTTGCTTTTCCCTTTTACTGCAAATTGTACTGAAATTAAAACATCCAACTTCTTTTACCTCTCTGCACTATATTGTTATTTTTCAGTTCTCTTTTAACGTACTTAATTGCATATTAAAATAAAAAAAAAATACAGTCATTTGTTTGCGAAAGCTAATTCAATTGATAATTTATCAAAGATTTGTATAATTTTTAAATTAATGAAAATTTCATTAAATCCTTCTTAGCTGAGAATTAGGTTTTATCATAGTTTTACCAAGTTACAAAGTAACAAGAACAATTATTGTTATAAACGATGATACTCATCGGAACGTGAAACTCGGTTACAACTTTTGGCTCGATAAAATCATCCCAAGAATGTGATGCAGCTTCGCTAAACTTGTTAAGGCAACTCTCAAACGAAATTTCCACCGCCAAAATTATAATTTTGTTACACACAACACTAAAGAGCATGCATTAAGTTTGTTTCATTCTCAAAAAAATTATTCGCTTCATCAATCACAAACATGCGTCATTCGTCTCCTTTAATAATAATAATTGACAAATGTAATCTGTAACGATTAACAAATATATAGTAACTTTTTGTAATTTTTAAGTTATCAAAAGAAAAATAATTTATTATCTGATAATTAGGAACAAATAAACTGACCGACAAATCTCCTCCGTAAAAAGGATGTATGACAAAAGTCTCGTTGCCTAAGTGTATTACCCCGCTGACTCCGTTGCATGTATGAAAAGCCGCACTGGCACCTGGGTAATCCCTCACAGTGCCATGGTAGTAACAATGTTCTATTTCCTGTAACAATACACAAATACAATTGTCAAATGCTTCCATAGCGACGACTATTTATTACTTCCATATTTTCAATGCGAAACTGTTTTATATGTAAGATGAAGTGTAAGAGACTATAAAAGTAGAATTCCATTTTAAATTGATACCAATGTATTCGTAAGATAGAAAATTTGAAAATAAATTGCTACAGAAAATAAAAATTTACTTTTTGCTACAAATTACGAAATTAGCTTTAACAATTGATGATTTTGGTAATCAATTTAACAATTAATTTAGGTTATCAGATTACAAAAGTCTCCGATAAGACTTAGTTGATATTAACAGATTTGCTTCTCTTCATAACCTGTTGATAAAAGTTATCAAGATCAAGTTCCAGCGGAAGCTAATTTAACCAAAAATTAATTTCTTATTTAACGTCAAAGTACATAAAAATTAAATCTGTTAAGTCAAATTTGTGACCACTAATTATTAATTTTTTGGAGAATAACTCCTTGTTAAATTCATGCTACACTGTAAACAAGAGTCTTTAGCATATAGGAAAGGAGTAATTTATTTCAATTTTGTAAAATCATGTTTGCGATAATTAAAAGGTATAGCCACAAAATGCAAGAATCTATTTTGAACACACTCGATCATAGTCAACTGACCCTCAATAAGACCATAAGACAGAGTCAAACTCAATTATAGGTTTCACTAGTATAACGCCACACAAAGATATGTACTTCCTATACTGCTCTTAAAAGTTTGCTTCTAAACTCTACCCCAAATAATTAGTTGTAATTAAATTGAGGTGAATGTTAGAATAATCGTTATAAATTAATCAAACCAAAGCTAAACAACTGCAACGGCAGTTTCACCCAAGAAATTGCCAAACAGAGGTTAAGCAAATGATTATCTGTACACGTTATTTAGAATTATGTGGAAAATTTTGTTTCATTTAGTCTTCTATTGCTATCAATTATTTCTCTAAAATTTAAATAGACATAAGCAGTTAAAATTTTTAGATAATATTTTCAAGTGTGTAACATAGTTACAATTCTAAAATTAAATTTTAGATAACTATTGTAGAGCTCTAGTTACAATTAATAGTTACATTATTAAATTATAAATCACAAACAAGTTTATTGATTTCCAAAATTATTTTCTAACAGATTAATCTATAATATATTATTTTCACGATATTTTTATTAATTATAATTAATTTATTAATAATAATTATAATACCACTAACTTTAGTGTCTATTAATATAAAAATTAATTTAAAATTAATTTAAAATTAATTGTAAAATTAATTTAAAATTAATTGTAAAATTGATTTTATTTCAACATTACTGATTTTTGAATTATTAAAGAATTTAATAATTTAAAATTTTCATTATTGGAAAATGATTGACAGTAATACAATGGCATTGTTCTCGGAGAGCGTTAGAAACGTATTAATAGAGACAAAAGTCACTCTGTCCTTATCAATACAAATTAAATGTTATTGGATATATCCAAATTAGACGCAATGAAAAATTTTTGATAGAAAATATAGAGGAAATATTCCGAAGGCATATAATTAGAGATTATTAAATGAATTGTAAAAAATCAATTTAAAATATTTCAAATTGATATTGATTGTTTCCTTCAAATTGTATTAAAATTATAAAAAATTTCAACCACTTTAAAAATAATTTATTAAAAAAAAGTACAGAAAGTAAATTTAGAAAAGGGAACCAACAAAATGCAGTTTCGAAATAATTTTGAAAAAAATTTCCTTGTAAATTAACAATAAGTTAATTGACAATATAATTTCGAAGATTGACCGTAAATAGTTTCCTGTACTCCAATAATTAATAAGTTTCAGATATAATTAATTGAGTTGAAATTAATTATCTAGAAGGGAATTTTCAGAGATAGATCGATTAAATTTTCATTAAATAAATTATAATTTCTAATATTATTTATTAATTATAAAAATTAATTTAAATATAATAATATAATTATATTAATTAATTATTTTGTATTTACAGACTTTGGTTAGAGGTAAATTTTTATAAAAATTTCATTAACTTTATTATTAATTTTATTAATTAAGAACTACTCCACAAGAGTTATTTTATAAAAGACCTACTCTAATTTATTGTTTCTGCATTTATTCTGAGTGAATTGTTTATTTAGCCTGTAAACATTTGAATATTTGTCCTAAACTCATTCCTCTCTTCACGACCTGCATAACTGAGCAAAACCGGCGAGTGCAAATTATTTAGTTGAAACACGGTTGTTTGGTCTATTCTTAATTAAATTCAAGTTTAATTGAGAGTCTAGTTTAAATTGTAATTATTTGAGAATTTTAGGTTTAGCTTAGTTCGATTGACCTCAACGATGACAGACGAATTTTCCAGTATATCGAGGATATAAACATTAATTCTACTCTTTAAATGAATTTTAATTTAACTCTTTGATATAACAGAATGTAAGTAGGAATTGCTTTACTTCTCACAGAATTAAACAAAATTTTGGCTGCCTTGTGCTAGTATAATATATATAACTACTGATCAGAGAGATAAAAATTGTCATTAAATTCGAATGAGGTTATTTTTTTATCGCCTAGGAAGCGTTTCAAGTGTTTCTGATGTCAGCAGTATAGGAAGTTTGATTTAGTCTGACCTAGACAATGAGACAATCGAAGAGGAACGCGGGAAGTATTTAAAGCTTTGGCGGGAGGAAGCTGAGTGTCTTTAGAAGATCGAAGATGGTAAAGTCTTGCAAAGTCCAGAAGAATGTCAAAATGACTATTAAGGACAAACTTAAGACTCTTTAGGATCTTATCAGTGAGGTGAAGTAAAAGGACGCCCTAGATGATAATGGAGATAGCAACCTTGGTGGCACTATAGGCTATACGGAGGTGAATCAGGAAGATTGGAAGAGAGTGTATTCATGAGAAACGGATTTGGTGATTAATCATAGAGGCCTAGAAACGAAGAAAATGCTCTGGCAGTACAGAAAGGACTGACGCCGAGGAGAGACAAAGAAGAAGCAAGAGGAAGCACTTCTTGTCAAAAAGATTCCGAAGGTGACGGTAACACCGAATCCTAAGCAAACCAGTAAGAAGAAAGCAACGATTAGATCTACAATGGAGATCCGAGTCGCAACAGGAACAACGTATGCCGACGTACTGAGCAAACTTCGAAGGGAAGTGAATCCGGACGCAGGTCACAGGGTTTGTAACATGTAGGTCGAGGGTACAAGGCCTACAAGAAAGGGAGATATCCTGATCAAAATCGGAAGAGACTCCAATAAGGAGGCATTCATTGTTGAGGTTACCAAAGTGGTTGGAAGCATGGGAAAGGTGTAGATCGTGGATCGACAGGTCACATTGGAGATCTGACGTACTGAGCAAGTTTCGGAGGGAAGTGAATCCGGACGTTAGCTACAAGTAGGTCTTAGGTGCAAGGGATACAAGAAAAGGAGATTTCCTCATCAAAATCGGAGGAGACTCCAATAAGGAGGCATTCACTGCTTAGGTCATCAAAGCGATTGGAAGCTTAGGGAAGGTTCGACAGCTCACACTGGAGATCCGCGACCTGGATTGACTTACCCAGAAAGAAGAGATCCAACAGACTGCTTGGCTAAAATCTTCTAGAAGCCAAGAAGCAGAAAAGTGACGGTCCTAAGACCCAATTGACGAGGAATGAAGCTAGCAGTTGTAGTTACTGACCCAGAGGAAGCGGACAGGCTGGAGAAATTGGGACGCAAAAAGATTAGCTTTATGTGTTGCTTAATAAAAAAAAAAGGTTGATGGTCGTTTTGGTGTCACCGATGCCTGGCGTACGGACACATAGAAACAATCTATAAGGCAGCGGACAAATCGACTGCGTGCTTTAAGTTAATTTGAATCAAAATTAAAACTAAATTTTTATTTACTATTTCCCAGATTAAAAACAGGGTATTTCCAACTTACATTCTGATTCAAAATCCGTATTTTATTCCATAAAGTGATTTTATAATATATTTTTACTCGTATAATTTTACAACTATTAAATATTAAGAATTATGCAATAATCCTCATGTTTCTATATAATTCCATTTTTTATTTTTCCTTTTCCTGTATTTGATATAAGTAGGAGAAATAAAATTACAGTTCAAGTTATATGGTAATATTGCAAAGGTAGAACATATATATATATATTGTACAAACTGTTGTCATCAGTCAATATTATCATAACATTAAATCATAGCAATCTTATCTGCACGAACAGTGGCACATCAAGAGTGCATTGAATTATCATAGCCTGCATGTGTAAACCAATCGATCATACGTGCCAGTTGTGTAGATTGACATCTTCTCAATTTAACTTGCAGTGCAACTGGCATAGCATCTGCTTTAGTTTTCCCTTTGGAGAGATAAACTTTGACATATGATTTAATGGCTTTATTTTTATAACCAAAATGCTTTTTAAAAGCTATTAACTTCAATTCATATATATTCTTTTGACAATAAATTCATATATATCTATACTTTAAGATTGATTCAATGTTCCAATATATGAATGAAATTTTTTTTTCCAACTCGAATATAAATTGTGACTCAATTAAAAACTTTTTTTATAATTTTAAAAACGGATATTATATATCAGTTAAAAAAAATTTATTGAAAAATATTGGATTTTTCAAAAGTGATACTTGTGATTTTATCAATTATAAAGTTTCGAACAATGAAAAATGCTTTCTATTAAAAAAAAATGTTTTTAAACAACTTTTTTTTATGAAAAACTCTTTTCACTAATTTGTCTGAAAATTAGTAATCACCTCTGCATTTCGAGAGAATATTTTGAAATGGCCGGATATTTTTTTTTTAAATCCTGATATTACAAAATGGACGGGAGAAAAAATTGAAAAATGAACATTTTAATGATAAACGAATCGTGAATAATGAAGAGTGTCAAATACAAGCTCGTCAGTGTAATGAGAAAATCACGAAACGAATTTTTGCTATGTAAACACAAAAAGCAGACAGT